TTACGTATTTTCCAGGAGGTGTTTATCACACTTGCCAAGGATCTAGCTCAAGGACCTTTGTGCAATGGGCATGTTGCAGGTGTTGACTGCTTAATTTCTTAACTACCCTAAACAATCTTTTTTTTTTTTTTTCCTTCTTTGATTTTCCAACAATGAGACCCCACCTGGAATACTGTGTCCAGCCCTGGGTCCCCAACATAAGAAGGACACAGACCTGTTGGAACAGGTCCAGGGGAGGCCACAGAGATGATCAAGGGGCTGGAGCACCTCTCTGAGGACAGGCTGAGAGTTGGAGTTGTTCAGCTTGGAGAAGAGAAGGCTCCAGGGAGACCTTATAGTGGGTGATAAGTAATAGAAGAATTTTGCTTTCGCTAAAAGTAATTAAACAATTACTTCTTAGGCTAAAGCTATTATTAGTACAATGATCCAAATTTTAAGAAAAGTAAAAGACTACTACTGGGAAAAGGGGGGAATCGATCTGAGGAAACACCAACCCAACAGCCCCCCCTCTTGGGATGCTCACCAGATGGTCCATATCAAAGGGTGGTAACTCCTTTGCAATGGATTGAGAAAGAACAGAATGGGCCATCTCTGGTATCCCTTGTCCTTGAGATAAGAGAGGAACTGAAACCACTGAGCCATAAAAGACAAAGGAGCTGCAAATTGGCCCAGACTTGAAGGACAAGGTGTACATGACCACAGGATTGAAGAAAGAAGATAAGATGTTAGAAGAAGCCAGGAGGCGTGCTGAAGGTGTTGAAACCAGCAGCTGTGTGGATAAAAGGGGGTTTGAAACTTAAACAATTTGGTGAGCCTGGACAGAGCTGCGACTTGTGACTCCTCAGCTACCCCAGCGCTGCATTTGCTCTCTTACCTTAATAAAGATTCATTAATCCATATTTGGATGTGATTGGCCTTAATCTACCTATAACATAGTGTCCTTCCAGTATGTAAAGGGAGCTACAGGAAAGCTGCAGAGGCACTCTTTATCAGGGGGTGTAGTGATAGGACAAGTGGTAATGGCTTTAAACTGAAAGAGAGTAGATTTAGACTAAATAGAAGGAAAAAATTCTTCACTATGAGGGTAATGAGACACTGGAACAGGTTGCCCAGAGAAGCTGTGGCTGCCCCCTCCGTGGAAGTGTCCAAGGCCAGGTTGGATGGGGCTTGGGGCAACCTGATCTAGTGGAAGGTGTCCCTGCCCATGGCAGGGGGGTTGGAACTAGGTGGTCTTTAAGGTCCCTTCCAACCCAAACTGTTCCATATTGAGAAGATAGCCACCAGGCATGCCAATGGGCCTGTCTTCAGTTTCCTAGCAGACAGGATTGACAGCTTGGAGTCTCCATATGAGTAGGATGCACAGAACATTCATTTTGTTTCTGCTGTAATTAATAAACCTGTGATGCAACTTACAACACTATTTTGTTTTTTTCCCATGGAATTAGACAACTTCTGTAATATTTTCATCATGCTGATTGTCACTCTAGGCAAAAATCCAGATCCATGCTTATTTGGACTTCTACATTTCATGTGATTATGCTCTGAGAACACGTAGATTTCCCTAGGAAGATGATGCAGTTTCATTCCTTTCCCTGACAAATTTTATACCTAAGTAAAATAGCATATTTGTCACAAGCTTCTGCTTTAAGAGTTGAAGCAAATCTGTATCTCTAAAGTGCAACATTTCTATCATGATACTTTTAGCTGGCTTAAAAAAATATACCACAGAGAATTTTGAAGTTCATATTAATTCTACTACTCAACTGAAAATACATGTGCTGGCAGCTCTACTGAGAGATCAGTAGTTCCTTCAGATAACTAAAGGTTTTTTTCTCAGAACCTCAAAGAAAAGTAGATCACTGAAGAGAAAACAAATTTTTAGATTTACATTAATCAACAGCCTCCTCAAGGGGACGGTTGTCTTTGGGTAAGGCCAGGAGCATTAGCAGGAATGGCAAGATGAAAGACCGAAAGCTGATGCAGAAGGGAAGCGAAGCGCTACATTCTGCTATGATACACCTAAAGTGGGAAGAGGAAGACAGTCTTTTCCTTGTTCCTTCCTGCCCTCATCCAACCTGCTCCTTCCCTCCGGTGTGCCCTGTCTGCCTTCTCCCATCACAGAAGACAGCTCAAGGCTCTTCCAACTAATGCTGCCTAATCAGGAAGAGGAAAACAGAACTTTTTACTTTCTGCATACAGTATTGATTAATGGATTAATATGGTAGTTCATATACCTACTTGTTGGTTCTTAGTAACAAAATCCATGTAAATGAACCACCACAAGTGAAGGATGAACACTGGCCATAAAATACAAGACCAATATGTCATATTAGAAAATTAAGCCTTAGTCGAGAATGCAGTCAATGCAAATTGCTCCAAGGTCCTTCCTTCTTTTCCAGAACACTGAAAGGATAGAGCTGCTGTAAATGGGATGTATGTGCCTCCTTTTGGTTGAATTTTGTCTATTTTCAGGAGTGCCCTGACACTTCAATAATATATACACTGTTACTTTATACATATATACACTGTTACTTTATACATACAGCTGCCAGTGAAAACTTTAGAAAGATACAAGAAACATACTTCATACTAAAGATAAAAACAAGAAAATTAAACTGTCTGTTGTTTGCTGTGCAAAAGATAAAATTGGGTAAGCATGACTTGACTTTAACCATCATAAAATATTGAATAATATTTCCACAAATAACCCAAGCATACTGTAATACAGCAATCTATTCTATGTGCCTGTACATTGCTATCATATGTACAAAGATTCTGAGTAAAATCAATCATAGTAAAAATTATGCTTTGGACCATCTGTGGCTTTTATCCCTCTTAAAGTTAAGATACCCCTTAGGTTAGAAAAAAATTACATTGAGCTATGTTGTCACTCCTAAGAAGTAATGGGATCTTGGATAAGGATGAAAAGTTGGTTATTTAATAAGGTCTAATGGTAAAAGGATTAAGAAAGTATGATGCAAAAGTCAGCAATTTAATGGAAATTAAATTTAACAGGAAAAATTATTAATCCTACAATAAGTGACACAAAAATAGATATAGTGAACTAAAAAGAAGCGAGACCTGTATGCTAGAAGAAATTGCAACCATCTGACAAAGTGTCAATCAATATTCAACCCCAGTAGGCACAGGAGGTGAATAGGACAGATTGCAAGGTAGAATACCTATCCCTACTAAACCACATAGAGAGAATTACATTGTTTAATTAGATAATCTACAGGAATATTAACACCTAAAACATTTCAAATGATGAAGTGAAATGAAAGAAAACCTATAGAAAAGATATGAAAAAAAATATATACTATTAAAACCAAATGTGCCAGATGAGATCTTTGGGGATGCCTCCAGCATTCCCAAAGAGAACAAAAGAGGTCCTCTGAATCTAGACAAATAGAGGAAAAAACACACTAATCACAGCCAGGGAAAAGATTTATGATATTAAGGAGTGAGAGAACTAATAAGCAAGGAAGAGTACACTTTATAGTTATGCAGAAGTTTTACTGAGATTTCTGTTGTATTCTATTCATGCTGCAGCCAGTAAATAGTAGAGTAAAAAAAAAAAAACAAAACAAAACAAAACGCAGAATATAAGCTCATTTTTTTTTCCTCAAACTGTTGGAGAACTGACAAATAGTGTGTGAAATCACAATGACGCTAACATAAACCGAGGAGCTTCATCTGTGCTAACAGCATCATAAAGGTTGATACGCAACAATAAATATATGTCTTTGCTATTTCTGTAGAACTGAATCTAGTGATATTAATAAAGGCTGATATAAACACTACAAGATCTCTATCTACACTTGAAAATAGACTTATCAAAATGGTGGCAAAACAGAAAGTGAGTTAAATAACAAACATATTAGGAGGCTACAGAGATAGAGAGAGAGCAAAAAATCCCAAAACAATCTCCTCCCCCTCAAAGGCTTAAAGAAAATTATTTCAATTAAAAAAGAGATGCAAAAGGAAAAACAATGAAACAAAAATGTGACAGCTCAAAAGGAAAGAGCTGTGAATTATCAAGCAAAAATTTTTCATGCTCAGGAAGAATTAGAGCAGTGGTGACTCGTTCAGAAACAGGGAAAATGTTGATATCAAGCAAAATAACAACTACCTGACCGACCAAAGACGAAAAATAAACTCTGTATTTCACACACATCTGGTTAACCAGGGGAGGAAAAAAAAAAAAAAAAAAGTGGTAAACAGCAAGCGTTTGGAATACCATTACTTTGATGAGCCTTCAAGAACAAAGTAAAAATACCCTCAAATATATTTCATGGTAACTCTAATTACATAGTCAGCCAGAAAAAAATAAAACAGTGTGTGCACACACGCAGGGTTTGAGGCCTTTCTACCCCGGTCGTGTCACCGGGAGAGCCGGCAGCAGCTCCGGCAAAGCCCGAGGTACCGAGAGGCCCCCAGCAAAATCTCCAGAAGCGAGAAAGCTGCTAACCCGGTGTACCGGAACCATTCAAAGCTCCAAATTTATTCCAGGAAAAAAAAAAAAAAAAAAAAAAAAAAAAAGGGCAATGCCGCGGGGAATCTTACCCCACAGTGACATCCCCCAAGTCGAAAACACCAACTGACGAGAACGCGACGGCCGCAACCTCCGGCTGCGCCCCCGCCCCGGCCGGGCCCGTTGTCGGCGCGCGGCGAAATGGCGGCGGCGGCGGCGGCGCGCGGGCGGCGCGCGAAGCGGCAGCTCCCGGCCCCGCCGCCGCCATTGGCTGGATTTTGCTGCAGGCCCGCGGCCGGCGGGGGCCCGGCTGCCCCACGGGCACCGCGCGCCGCAACGACCGGGCCGGGACAGCGCGCCGTGTGCGGCGGGAAGGGGGGCGGCCGCCTCCCGGGGGTTCGCTCCCGCGGCGCGCAGGCCGAGCCGACGCCGAACGCCGCGGGGGGGCGGCGGCGGCTGCGTCTTCCCGGGGCCGGGGCCCCCCTGTCGGCGGCGACGCGGAGCGTCCCCGGCCGCGGGGGGAAGGGCGCGGAGAAGAGCCCGCCCCCGCCCTGCCCCGCCGCAGTCCTCAACCAGGTCGGGCCGCCGGCAATAAAGGGAGGCGCGGGCGGCCGTTCCCGCCAGACGCGGCTTTGGGTCAGTGGAAGAGGAGAACATGTCCGGGCGCGGCAAAGGCGGGAAGGGGCTCGGCAAGGGGGGCGCCAAGCGGCACCGCAAGGTGCTGCGCGACAACATCCAGGGCATCACCAAGCCGGCCATCCGGCGCCTGGCTCGGCGCGGCGGCGTGAAGCGCATCTCGGGGCTGATCTACGAGGAGACGCGCGGCGTGCTGAAGGTGTTCCTGGAGAACGTGATCCGCGACGCCGTGACCTACACGGAGCACGCCAAGAGGAAGACGGTGACGGCCATGGACGTGGTGTACGCGCTCAAGCGCCAGGGACGCACCCTCTACGGCTTCGGCGGCTAAACTCGGTTCCTGCAATAGGTTACGCTCCTACAAAAAACAAAGGCTCTTTTCAGAGCCGCCCAAGCTTTCGACAGAAGAGCCTGAGTCACTGTTTTCTTCTGCGTGTGTGTGGGTGTGTGTGTATGCGCGTGGTGCTGTTGCAGTTGAGGCGGTTGCGGTGGGGGCGGCTGGGTTGGGCTTTCGCTGCCTCTGCCCGTAGGCAGCCCCACTCGTCCTTCGCTCCCCGCTCCCGGGCTCCAACGACACTGCGTGGGGTTGAAAGGGGAACGAGCGCTCCTCTCCGCGGAGAGGAGAGAGCTTTGGCTTTTGGGGAAAGATTGAGGTTCTGAAAAGGTCCTTCAGTCCCCCCGCCCTCCTTCACCCCCATGACAGCCCCTTTCCCCTCCCAATCGCTCGCCCGCGCTGTCCCCCTTCCGAACCGGGAGGGGACTGACGGGCAGGCAAGAAAAGGCTGCTGTTGCTACAGCAGCCCCCCCCGCCATGGGCTTCACCGCGACAGGCTGAAACGGGAAGAAGCTCGTGAAATGGCGGCGCGCTCTGCTCGGCCGGTTGGGGGGGCGGGGCAAGGCGGGAAGGCGCGGGGAGGGGGGCGTGAGGAAACGGCTGAGAGCAGCCCTAGGGCCCCACCCGGGGGCCGCAGAAGAAAGAAGCCGCGGGCTCGGAGCGAAAGCGCGCGCCCGCCCTCCCTCCCCTTGTTCCCGCCGGAAGGCTGCCTCCGCTCCAGGCACCGCGCTCTGCCCCCCCTCCTCTGCCCCCCCCCCCCCCCCCCCCCCCCCCGCGCCGGTAACAGAAAGGGAGACGCCTCAGAACCGTGTCCACACGCGGGGCGGGAGCTCTCGCGCCACCCGCTAGCGGGAACTCCAACCTTCCCGCCCCGCCACCGCCCCCACCCCGAGTTACGGCACCATCGGCGCTACCGCGAGCGCGGGAAGCTGCGCTGGGCACCGGCTGCCGGCGCTGAGAAGCAGGGACACAGCTCTCTCCGGTGGCCAGGTGGTGGCTCTTAAAAGAGCCTTTGGGGCTGGCGGCGGCAGGGAGGGGGCTCAGGCGCGCTCGCCGCGGATGCGTCGGGCCAGCTGGATGTCCTTGGGCATGATGGTGACGCGCTTGGCGTGGATGGCGCACAGGTTGGTGTCCTCGAAGAGCCCCACCAGGTAGGCCTCGCTCGCCTCCTGCAGCGCCATCACGGCCGAGCTCTGGAAGCGCAGGTCGGTCTTGAAGTCCTGCGCGATCTCGCGCACCAGGCGCTGGAAGGGCAGCTTGCGGATCAGCAGCTCCGTCGACTTCTGGTAGCGCCGGATCTCGCGCAGCGCCACCGTGCCGGGCCGGTACCGGTGCGGCTTCTTCACGCCGCCCGTGGCCGGCGCGCTCTTGCGGGCCGCCTTGGTGGCCAGCTGCTTGCGGGGCGCCTTCCCGCCCGTCGACTTCCGCGCCGTCTGCTTCGTGCGCGCCATCCCTGTGCTGCTACTTTACAGCACTAGTACAGAAGTAACAGGAGAAACTGCACAACCCTACCGGCGTTGACTCCTATTTATATCCGGGCTCTGCCTGGTCATTGGCTGAGGGAAAGGGACGAACTCTTAGGGGATGTTTGAAAATCGCGCGTTAACCCCCTTTATGCCGAACCGTGATCTTTAAGAGTAAATGACAGGCTCGGTCTTCTTTTCCTCAGAGCCTTACGGGCTGGCCTTTATTAATTGAGCCGGTCACAAAGTTAATTCTTCTCATATAGATCGCAAAAGATGGATACCAAAGATGGGTGAAAATAAAACGTATTTTCTAGGCATATCAAAATGATAATTCATTTCTTGCAGTTTACTGAGGGAAACCTATATATGTAAATATGGCCATTTTTTTGCCATTAAAAATTCATTAGAGTAGTATTGCTGAGAAATGTAATGCTTTACGTTCAATCCAAACTAACTGTTTATACTTCTATGCCATATTTAGCACTGAAAGTTATATATTCCTTCTTACTACATCGGCTATTTAAAATATGGATCTACTCAGCACTATTCAGAGTCTAAGAAAACTTAGGAAAAACAGGGGGTGAGTAAAACAAAGAATAGAGAAATAAAATTTTAAAAATCCTTCCGTCTTCTCAAAAAAAAAAAAAAAAACACCACACCGACTTCTCGTTGAAACGGAATAGGGCTGAGTGCGCGTTCAGCTACAGGCTGCGTGAGGGATGTTTCGAATTACCCAACTGAATTTTTCGATTCTTCAACGAATCAGATGCGAGAAGGCGGGGCCACGCTCCCTATAAAGACGGACCGCAAGGGTCTCTCATCCCTTTCGCAGAGGAGAGAGGCGGAAGGCGACATGGCGCGCACGAAGCAGACGGCGCGGAAGTCGACGGGCGGGAAGGCGCCCCGCAAGCAGCTGGCCACCAAGGCGGCCCGCAAGAGCGCGCCGGCCACGGGCGGCGTGAAGAAGCCGCACCGGTACCGGCCCGGCACGGTGGCGCTGCGCGAGATCCGGCGCTACCAGAAGTCGACGGAGCTGCTGATCCGCAAGCTGCCCTTCCAGCGCCTGGTGCGCGAGATCGCGCAGGACTTCAAGACCGACCTGCGCTTCCAGAGCTCGGCCGTGATGGCGCTGCAGGAGGCGAGCGAGGCCTACCTGGTGGGGCTCTTCGAGGACACCAACCTGTGCGCCATCCACGCCAAGCGCGTCACCATCATGCCCAAGGACATCCAGCTGGCCCGACGCATCCGCGGCGAGCGCGCCTGAGCCCCCTCCCTGCCGCCGCCAGCCCCAAAGGCTCTTTTAAGAGCCACCACCTGGCCACCGGAGAGAGCTGTGTCCCTGCTTCTCAGCGCCGGCAGCCGGTGCCCAGCGCAGCTTCCCGCGCTCGCGGTAGCGCCGATGGTGCCGTAACTCGGGGTGGGGGCGGTGGCGGGGCGGGAAGGTTGGAGTTCCCGCTAGCGGGTGGCGCGAGAGCTCCCGCCCCGCGTGTAGACACGGTTCTGAGGCGTCTCCCTTTCTGTTACCGGCGCGGGGGGGGGGGGGGGGGGGGGGGGGCAGAGGAGGGGGGGCAGAGCGCGGTGCCTGGAGCGGAGGCAGCCTTCCGGCGGGAACAAGGGGAGGGAGGGCGGGCGCGCGCTTTCGCTCCGAGCCCGCGGCTTCTTTCTTCTGCGGCCCCCGGGTGGGGCCCTAGGGCTGCTCTCAGCCGTTTCCTCACGCCCCCCTCCCCGCGCCTTCCCGCCTTGCCCCGCCCCCCCAACCGGCCGAGCAGAGCGCGCCGCCATTTCACGAGCTTCTTCCCGTTTCAGCCTGTCGCGGTGAAGCCCATGGCGGGGGGGGCTGCTGTAGCAACAGCAGCCTTTTCTTGCCTGCCCGTCAGTCCCCTCCCGGTTCGGAAGGGGGACAGCGCGGGCGAGCGATTGGGAGGGGAAAGGGGCTGTCATGGGGGTGAAGGAGGGCGGGGGGGGGCTGAAGAACCTCTTCAGAACCTCAATCTTTCCCCAAAAGCCAAAGCTCTCTCACGCGTTGCTCGCTCTTCTCCGCGGAGAGGAGCGCTCGTTCCCCTTTCAACCCCACGCAGTGTCGTTGGAGCCCGGGAGCGGGGAGCGAAGGACGAGTGGGGCTGCCTACGGGCAGAGGCAGCGAAAGCCCAACCCAGCCGCCCCCACCGCAACCGCCTCAACTGCAACAGCACCACGCACATACACGCACACCCACACACACGCAGAAGAAAACAGTGACTCAGGCTCTTCTGTTGAAAGCTTGGGCGGCTCTGAAAAGAGCCTTTGTGTTTTGTAGGAGCGTAACCTATTGCAGGAACCGAGTTTAGCCGCCGAAGCCGTAGAGGGTGCGTCCCTGGCGCTTGAGCGCGTACACCACGTCCATGGCCGTCACCGTCTTCCTCTTGGCGTGCTCCGTGTAGGTCACGGCGTCGCGGATCACGTTCTCCAGGAACACCTTCAGCACGCCGCGCGTCTCCTCGTAGATCAGCCCCGAGATGCGCTTCACGCCGCCGCGCCGAGCCAGGCGCCGGATGGCCGGCTTGGTGATGCCCTGGATGTTGTCGCGCAGCACCTTGCGGTGCCGCTTGGCGCCCCCCTTGCCGAGCCCCTTCCCGCCTTTGCCGCGCCCGGACATGTTCTCCTCTTCCACTGACCCAAAGCCGCGTCTGGCGGGAACGGCCGCCCGCGCCTCCCTTTATTGCCGGCGGCCCGACCTGGTTGAGGACTGCGGCGGGGCAGGGCGGGGGCGGGCTCTTCTCCGCGCCCTTCCCCCCGCGGCCGGGGACGCTCCGCGTCGCCGCCGACAGGGGGGCCCCGGCCCCGGGAAGACGACAGCCGCCGCCGCCCCCGCGGCGTTCGGCGTCGGCTCGGCCTGCGCGCCGCGGGAGCGAACCCCCGGGAGGCGGCCGCCCCCCTTCCCGCCGCACACGGCGCGCTGTCCCGGCCCGGTCGTTGCGGCGCGCGGTGCCCGTGGGGCAGCCGGGCCCCCGCCGGCCGCGGGCCTGCAGCAAAATCCAGCCAATGGCGGCGGCGGGGCCGGGAGCTGCCGCTTCGCGCGCCGCCCGCGCGCCGCCGCCGCCGCCGCCATTTCGCCGCGCGCCGACAACGGGCCCGGCCGCGGCGGGGGGACGCGGGCGGCGGGATGCGCTTTGTGCTCACTAACATCCGCTACACTGTAACGAATGGTGAATAAATTAGTAATCCTCTTTCTTAAATTCTTATTTTCTTATTTGGGGACGATATATGTCCTTCTTTTTGGGGGGGTGGGGGGGGCGGGGGTTAATTCATTAGCTCCCAGGTTAAGAAACTGCACAATCTCGGGGCTTTCTTCTGTTTATAAGGTTGAAGTGCTGTTAAAGGAACTGATTTCTGTTCTTGTTAATGTACCCATGAAGTATCTAGATTGCTTCAAGTGTTTTAAAAAATGTAGCATGTGTTTTTTCATTTTCATGATCTTAATACATAGTAAATGAATTATTTTTCTTTTTTTTTTCTTCACGTGGTCTAGGACACAAAACAATATTTTTATAAACTGTTGTCTACATCTCCTCTCAGAGGGAATAAATTGCAATTTTACTGAGTTGTTTCACCTTAATCAGCTTTGGGAACCTCAGGTTTCCAAATGTCATTTTTTTCAGAAAATGCAATGCAACTTCCCCTCTATCTTACCTTTCATCTTGCAGTTTTTTTCATTACAGGTATTTTATGCTCCAGAAATCTGAGCCATATATTTGCTGTTTGTCTAAATAGTTTTAAAGACTTCAGATTATAGAAACACTCAGTAATTTACAAAGCTAGAAAACTTGTAGCTATACATGGTAAATTATGTAGCATATAATACGATTACATTTACTATTTCAGTCTCAACACATAAAAAGGTTTACAGTAGCTACATAAAACCTTAAAACCAGACTTCCCAGCTGTGATTCTAAGGTGCACTAAGCACTTTAGAAATTTTCCAAAATAAACACAAGTTCTAGGAAGCTGTGTCTTATTATCAATATATTCCAAATAACCTTGAATGTGGTGTGCTGAGTGTCTTCTGTTGATGGTCTAGTTGTTCTGTAACTTCCCCTAGGTCTTCTTGGTTCTATTCTCTGTATTGCACATACAATAATAGAGCAGATTAAAATGAAATTATGTTCAGAAACCAATCTGAATTTCCAACAGTTATCCTGCTACTGACTTTCCTTCATCAGATAAGTGGTCCTCCAGCATTTCTGGCTGAAGAGGCTGCATAGGGTGGGATAATTGGAGCCAAGGTACTACTCATAAGTTCAATTTTTATTATTTAAGTCTGCAGAGCCGCGGAAGAACGACACGCCGAGACGGGTTCAATGTGGGTGATAGAGCATCAAATCTACTTTATTGGTCCGGGTACATATATTTATACAGACAAAGATAATTATTATGCCTACTAGTCACTAGCTGATTGGCTTAAGCTCTAAAGGTCGTATTCGCACGGTCCACCTACTTGCAGTTAGCTTACAGCACGAGCTTCTCATAACACTAAGTTTCTCATGTTACTATTTCTAATTCCTCTTGACTTGTTTTTGATACACAACAGTACCATAACACAATGTTTCTCAGACCGCCGTTACCATAACACTAAGTTTCTCAGGCCACTATTCCCAATTCCTCTCAACCTGTTTTCGACACACCACGGTACACAAGGCCGAAGCATCCTTGACATTCCTCCTGTATCAGCAGCTGCGAGCAGCTGCAGGCAAACCCTAGTGAGGCCCAGCATCAGCGAGGCAGCATCAGCCCCTAGAACAGGCTCTGATCGTACAGCTGCTCGGTGGGCTCAGGACCCTTGTCTCTGAGCCATTCTCCAACATAAGTCCATTTAGGGAGTAAGCAGAGGGAGAAAAAAAGTAATTCTAAATAGAGATTTCATAATAAGAAAGAGTATTTTTTGGAAAAAATCTGTTCAGGGCTCACCCAGGAGCTGTAGTGCTAAACACGAACAGCAGCATTGCCTTTACATCTTCCCATTGCCTTCTAGAAACTTCCAGTTACCCGAACATGAGAAAGCTGACAGCTTGTAGCATAGCTTGTTCACCAGGATGAGATTCACCAACCAGGGAAAAAAAAAGACAAAAGTCCCACGTGTTGGTAGCCAGTATTTGGAAACAAGAAATAGGCTGGTGACTCATTCAAGTTCTGACATCCTGGAGTTGTTATGGAGCTGTTCTTGAAGACTTTTCTCTCTTCCCTCCCATCAAACTTAGGTTTCCTGATTCTGAAGGATTATTTCTTTTGGATGTTCCAAAGCCTTTGTCATTCACTGGAAACCCCATTGTTGTTGAAGTGGGATGGATGATGAGTGTCCAGACATTAAGAATTTCCTGTCCATTTCCTTTAGTGAACATGGTTATTTTAGACTGTTGAGAGAAATATGAATGTCCTGATTCCTTTTCCTTATATTCTGACTGTCTAAACAATACAATTAACTCAGCTCTTCTGACATTATTGATAAGGTTTCTACAATCAGTTATTTCTGAGAACCTGAGTTCCCTTTATAAACATCTAACACTCTCCCTACTCCTATCCCCAATTATTTTGCCTTTAGCACTCTCTGGTTGTACCTTTTTGTGAAGGGGCAGCATGCACAACCACATTATATCAGGACTGACTAGCCTTCAGTTATTATTCAGTTTCTGCTTTTTGCGTTTGATTATTTCATTGGGTTGCAGTTTGGTTTTGTGTTTTTTTAAACACAGTTTTCAGCTAGAAGCCTAAAAACAAGCAGTAGCTTCCGAGTTCACGGTAGCAACCTTTCCTTCATGGAGGATGTCTTTCTACTCCACAGCTGATATTTACAAAATCTGTTAAAACTAAGCATATCTCAGGCCTGGATCAACTATTGCTTTTGTCTGTAACGGATCAACGGATTTAAAAGAATTAAGGGGGGTGGTGTTTGCAGAAGCTGGTTTTTGTATTAGGGTATTTTTTTAATTGTTTTTAATGCCTCTGCTTTCTGGACAAATGGACTTTACATTGATGAGATTGCCCTGTGTTATTCTACATTTTCTCTTTCAGAGCAGTGCAACAAAAGCAACTGCCTCTATCTGCTATTGTGGACACAAAACTGGAGATCCTACGCCACATTGTCCAGGAGTGGCATGTCAAGTTGTGGACTTTCACATATGTTCACGAGAGAACTCATGTTATCAGGCAGAGGTTTTTCAGTGAACTGCTTTTTCGGGTAATGTTTATGTTAAAAGAAAGTAATGGGGTATACAGTATATGTGGGGAGTTAAATGTTCTGAGATGGGCCACTCTGGCTTCTCTTACTGCTTTGCTGAAAAAGAGAGTACTTATTTTCTTCCCCTGAAAAAGGTAGATACAGATCCCTCCTGCCTTACCAGATTTTCTCTGAGCTGATGGAGCTGCTGCTGACAGCTGTGGGGGAGTTAGAACAGATGGAGATGGGTGAGCACCCCCCCCATCCCTGTTCTTGATGAGAGGGAGCTGGGCTTGGGGGGGGACAGAGGTGAAAACAGAGGGCTACAGCATCACGGGGGCAGCGTGAAGCCGCTCTCCTCAACACCTTTGGCTGCTTTTGTTTCGCCAGTGCAGGTGTTAAGCACAGCAGATGCACTTGTAAGCAGGCATTACTCACTGGGAAGGAAAAAGGGCCCACACTTTACTCATCTGGCTCCCTTTCTTCAGACAGCATTATTTCGGACATAGGCTGTGTGAGAAACAAGCCCACGTATATATATAAAAAAAAAAAAAAAAATTATTGGGGACATAATCAGTGGAGCAAAGAATACAGCACTGGGCGCAATGGCGCGCCCTGGAGCCGAAAGCGGCTCCCTTTTATTGTATAAAAGGTTACATATTCATCTACTCTAATACATATGCATCACTACTCCAAGGATAGGGAGGGAATATTACAATCAGTTCCGAGAAATCATTAACATATCCCCCCACCCCAAATTCCTCCCGTCGCGCTTGCGCAGTGCTCCCTGGTGGTCGTGGGCAGGGGTCTGCAGATGAAGGCTCGTAGTCTTCACTGTGTTCGCTAGCTGACCCTTACTTCTGTGCAAACTCAGTCCTGAGGTCACGTACACCTTGTCCGGGCTAATTTGCAGCTCCTTTGTCTTTAGGGCTCAGTGGTTTCAGTTCCTCTCTTATCTCAAGGACAAGGGATACCAGAGATGGCCCATTCTGTTATTTCTCATTCCGCTGCAAAGGAGTTACCACCCTTTGATATGGACCATCTGGTGAGCATCCCAAGGGGGGGGGGGGGGCTGTTGGGTTGGTGTTTCCTCAGATCAATTCCCCCCTTTTCTGTTCCCAGTAGTAAATTCTTTTACTTTTCTTAAAATTTGGATCATTGTACTAATAATAGCTTTAGCCTAACTTATTAAAAGTAATTGTTTAATTACTTTTAGCGAAAGCAAAATTCTTCTATTCTTTATCACAGCTGGAACTATTTGTACATCCAGAACTCTGCACTGCAAGGTAAAAGAAAAAAATAAAAGCAGAAGAAAAACCAGCCTGGTAAAAGATCCTTTTATTGTTTACATCAGTATCCAGAATCTCTCACTATCTTTACAAATCTCCTTGATCAATTAGTTTGTTGTGATTTTAGCAGTTTCACCCACCTTAAACTGCATTTACCTATGCCAGATAAATGTCTTGTATAGGCCCATGCCATCCATCTCCTCTGATACAGAGAAAGTCTAGACTTTGTATGTCCTTTAAGGGTTTCAAAAGGAAATAGCATCATTGTAGCACCGGCTATATGATACCAAGTTATCCAGGCCTAGCTTCATTCAATCACAAATTAACTTGATCCGTTTAAAAGTGGATTATAGTGTTCTAAATTGCTGATAATTTAATTCATAATTGTAATTTATAATGTTGCCACATAGCATTTTAATTTAAAAAAATTACCCTTTTCTAAACATACAGACTAACACTATATTAAAAACCACTTCCCCTATTATATATAAAAAAATATTAGCACATCAGAATTCCTAATACCATAAAATCATTTTACTCTGTTTAAAAAATGTTATTTTCTTCTTGCACAATTAAGTCAACTTGACAAGATGACTGCCAGAATTTCTGATTCACAATAAATTTATAA